GAATAGCATCGTGTAATAAAATCAAACCCGCCAAAATTATAAATAGGGTAATTACTGGTGGTAGGATGTCTTGTGAGTCCGCGCGGGTAGGTACCACCACCCTGTCTATTTCTGCCGTGAAACAGTAATGCGTTGCGGTTCGGTTAAAAGGTTTTGGTAAAAAAAAAGTCATCATATGTAGTATCACATTTAGACTTGGTATTATTCAGCGCTATTCGCCCGAGTTTCACCTCCTGGAATTTTTTCCTTGAGCCTATAGCCTTATCAAAAGAAGACCAGACTTAATACTAGAAAAAGTGCTGAGTAAATTAATTTCAGAGCTCGGTGGGTTTAAGTAAAAATGCACTGTAGAATTGTGTATAAGCGCAGTGGTCCTATTATTTTTATTTCTTAGATTGGATGAGCTCACACCCCACCTGGTGTTAAGTGGTTACTGGAGCCCATAGACATCTACAACGTAAATGCGCCACCCACCTTGAGATATAAGTTCTAAGGTCTCAAGTATAGTTACAACGGCTGCCCCACCCTTCAAACCGAAACGCATCACTGCTTCACGGCAGAAATAGGCAGCGTGGTGGTACCTACCCGCGCGGACTCACAAGAGTTCCTACCACCAGGCCTAGGTGACAGACCTTACTAAAGGCTTCCGGTGAATCTTGTGATTTCCGATCTATCTAGTACATTATTTTATACAGTTTTAGGACCAGTGCAGTGATGTTAACATAAGCTATATCAATGTTTTAACAAAGTATGGCAGAACATCGTATTGAACCCGAAAATGACCACGCATCTTAATTTAATATAACACTAGCGACCCGCCCTCGCTTCGCTTCGGAAACATTAAAACACACATGAAACCAAAAAATAAAATAATATTTTTTTTAAAAAAAGTAGCCTATGTTCATCAGGGACAATGTCGGCTTCTAATGAAAAAGGATTTTTCAAATCGGTCCAGTAGTTTCGGAGCCTATTCGAAACAAACAAACAAACAAATCTTTCCTCTTTATAATATTAGTATAGAAAAACACGAGGAACAGTGTTAGTTTCCAAATTAAAAACTGTTTTAGCTAAATGAAATTCCATCCAACAATGTTCGTTAAAATAATTCGAGTTTTCAGGGATCCTGAACTAATATGAGAAATAAAATCAACATTGAATTTCTGCAGTACTCGGAAACCTACATGTTTAGTTCTGCGGGATGCAGACAGGGCCGCATTTGGAATTCGAACGAACTTAAGTTATAAACCCCCCTTTGAAAAAATGTGTATCGGTGTAGTGAGGCATATAGGCAAAAGGATCTCAGGCGTCGTCATGATTTGCGTCCAGATAGTTACTAGAGTTCAACACTACAACATTAATCACGTGTAATAATTTTTTCTTCTCTCGCTGTTCAAACATTCACAAAAAAATTACCTTGAACTGACCCAATTAGAAATGAAAAGCCTAAAGAAAGAGATGGTGCATTGAAGGGGTTATTAAAGACCACACATTTCTCACACAAAGTAAATGGCGAATAGTCTGAAGTAAAGAGATTATTCTCACACAAAAGTTTTTTGGCACTATTTGGAAGTTTGATTACGTTGAACATATTTACCTGCCCCTTGAACACTGCTATGATTCTAAATGTCCGATTCACTCACACGATTCCCATTAAACCCATTCGCATAATAATGCTAACATATCCTTTAATTTATAATTGAGAGTGCCCAAGATCGATGTGAATCGAAGAATTTGTTTCGAGCCCTACCCCCTCAGCAAGGGGTTAATAGGAAAGAAAAGAAAAGAAGAAGATCTTTGATCCAAACACTTTTCTTTAGTTTCGAACCTCTTGCTCAGAACATCTTCTGCCAGTATATTCCATTCACAAAGATAATTTTAACGAAGAAAATGTTAGCCCCCTAAATTATATCTAAATACGTCCCTGCTATTAGCCGCTCACGTCCCGTCCGAAATTTGCATATTCAAATGCGCAGTAAGGATCAAAGAGGCACCGAATCCGTTACTGGGCAGACGTCTGCTAACATTTGCTGAACGCTGCTGAAATGGTATATTATGACGTCAGCATAATCACTGATAATTCTTATTACCGCTATAAAGCTCTTAACCGGATCAGACGGATTAAATTCTAAATTCCATATATTCGTTTTAGAGTATCAAAGGCTAATGACATTTAGCAAGGCGAAATGATAATGGATGGCATAAAAAGGGGAGACCTATGCCTAGTATTGGATGTCAGAGGACTGAGGATGTAAATATATTTTAAAAAATTTGAATTAAAAATAGTGTAAGAAAAAAATATTTTATTGTAAAGAAAGCGTGGGGTGCATGGTATCAGTAGTTATATATATTTTATGAACAGATATGAGTAGAAGGGTTATTTTGATAATATCCTGAAAAGCACACCACGCTTTTTTACTATTATAAAATCATTTCTTCTTACGCCATTTTTAATTCAAATTCATTAAAATTTATTTTCTATTTTTTAATTGGATTTTCTTTTAAGCTATTATTTATTTTTCATTTGTGATGAATTGTCATCGGTCCTAAATTAGTATACCAAATTTCGAGTTAATCCGACGTTTTGAAGGGGGTCAAAATCATGTTCAAAGATTCCGTTACAAACATACATACGTCGACTTATTATTTATTCGTAGGTCTGAAGCTAATAAAAGCTTATTAAAATTGTTAAATGTTAAACAATCTGAATCATAGAATTTCCTTCAGTTCGTTTGTCCGTATATGAGTCGACTATTATCAAAGCCGGCAATCTGACTTTTGGACAATGATTGGTAAATCAGAAAAACGAATTATTGACTTTGTATTCCATTGGCAGTCACAAAACTCTTCGGAACGACATCTTAGATAAATAACAGGTTAACTATTAACCTTTATTTAATGCAGGTTTTGAACCGTATTCTTTGAAGGAGACGATTATATTCAAATNACTCGGCTATCAATAATAAAATTTTATGTTTCCGAAGCGAAGCGAGGACGGGTCGCTAGTTTTTTCTAGAATGCTAAGTACGTATTTCAGGAGGCTTGAAACCGCTCACATCATTCGATACGAGCGCTCTGGATGTTTTACCCTTTCGACAACGGTGATTTCCCTTGACCTTACTATAAAATAAAATAAAATAAAAAAACGCACCATTAACGACTGCTCTAAGCAATACGATTACAGAGTTAATTCAATCGCCTTGAGAAGTCTCACGGAACTACGCTAATTTTTTTTCTGCGTAATTTCTTATCCCTGACAACGAACAGACAACGAATTTCATTTTGCTCTAGTTTATTTTGTTTTATGTTTTCTCTCTACGATAATATCTTTTAAGCATTCTAGGTCAGTTCTCTAGAGAGAGAACCCGTATATTTGAAAGACAGCCACTAATGTTGACTAGTAAGAAATTTATAAGATGTTTACGTGTTTTTGGAAATCTCTTGCTTTTGTGAGGGGGTGTTTTTTTTGTTGCCCCTGTAGGCAGACGAGCATACGGCGCACCTGATGGTGAGTGGTTACCGTCGCCCATGGACTTCAGCAATGCCAGGGGTAGAGCCAAGCCGCAGCCTATCGTTAGCCAAGCCGGTGCCTGTATTTAAATGAAATATGACTAAAAATCACATAACGAATACATCGACACTCCAATGATAATTGGAACTTGTGTATTTACTTACTGAAGATGTCGATAGCGCCAATGAAATTTTTTGACGGGCTTACTAGTACTACTAATTACATCGCAATGTAATTAAAAAATAATTGTTAAGTGACCTATGAAAACTGTAGAGTAGTATTTGGGACGTGAAAAACTACAAAACGGACAGGATAAGCTTAAGCTGATTCACTACATTATTAGCGTAGATAGCTGAGCTTAGGTTCATATGGTATTAAGTGATAATCGATGGTAAGCAGTACATATCTATATATTAATACGTGAACCAAAAACTTTATATCCCTTTTTACGAAAATTGCGCGGGCGGAGGAGTATGAAATTTTCCACAATTATAGAGAAGAAGTGCACAATGCCAATATGTTTTTAAAATAATGCGTAAAAGATACATTAAATCAATAAAGAAAACATTACACACACTACATACCATGTATTTGACGCACACATGCATGCATACTATTTATTGTCAAACTTTTGTTCTTGACGTCTGTTGTCAAATTGAGATTAAATATTGTTTGTCTTTGTTCATATTTTTTATAGTGTAGTCTTGGCGAAATTTTTTGATTATAGACGTATAAAATACAATTATAATAGTGTACAAATTTACAATTCCAGTTAATTTTAGTCGAATTTCGACTAATGCGGGACCTCTAGTTAAAATAAAACCACCTACCCTGAGACGCAAAACTGAAATGTCGATTCCAATACAATGAATATACCGGTAGCATCTAAATTGGATTGATGTATTGATTATTAATTTATTGAGAATAGAGAGAGATAGAGTGTATATACGCCACCCGGCCTATTTCTGCCGTGAAGCAGTAATGCGTTTCGGTTTGAAGGGTGAGGCAGCCGTTGTAACTATACTAGAACCTTAGAACTCATATCTCAAGTTAGGTGGCAGCATTGAAGTTGTAGATGACTATGGGCTCCGGTAACCACCAAGTGGGCCGTAAGCTCGTCCAACAAAATCTATCTATATATATAAAAATGCATTGCTGTTCGTTAGTCTCGCTAAAACTCGAGAGCGGCCGGACCGATTTGGCTAATTTTGGTCTTGAATTATTCGTGAAAGTCCAGAGGTTTTAAAGGTAAATAAATATGAAAATGCTCGCAATTATATATTATAAAAACAAATAATTTTGTTTTCCTTTCATGTCCCCCCCGTCGGACGGATTCCTTTTGTTTATTTTATACAAAAGTTTAGGTCCTTTAATTATTGATTGAGGCACTACGAAGTCTGCGGGGTCAGCTAGTATGCAATAAAAAAAGCGAGCGTAGCTAAGATGATAGGATAAGTTACATAAAATTATAATATATGTTAATTTGTTGCAGCTACATCGCTCGTGACTTACGCCGGAGAGCGATATGACTTCATTCTGGATGCTAATAACGAAATCGACAACTACTGGATCAGATTCCGCGGTCTTATGGACTGCGATGAAGTGTAAGTTTCATATAAAATTCGGATACTAGTTTTTTTTGTCTCAATAGTTTTAGTGATAGCTCTTGCTAGGGTTCGTGTTAGCATCGTCGTCAGGTTTGAGCCCCGTGAGCTCACCTACTAGCCACGGTTACGCTGAAATAGCCTCTCAAGGCTATCAGCTTAGGTAGGAAAAAAAAAAAGTATTTTTGGTTCTAAATGCATTTTGTCTCGGCTTAGTCGATTGAGCAATTGTAAGAGTACACAACTATAGCGCTAATATCGTAAAATACTGTTTATCTAGTACAAGTAATAGATTATTTTTTTATTGCTTAGATGGGTCGACGAGCTCACAGCCCATCTGGTGTTAAGTGGTTACTGGAGACCATAGAAATCTACAACGTAAATGCGCCACCCACCTTGAGATATAAGTTCTAAGGTATTAGTATAGTTACAACGGCTGCCCCACCCTTCAAACCGACACGCATTACTGCTTCGCGGCAGAAATAGGCAGGGTGGTGGTACCTACCCGTGCGGGCTCACAAGATGTTCTACCACCAGAAATTACGCAAATTATAATTTTGCAGGTTTTTTATTACACAATATTATTCCTTCCCGTGGAAGTCAATCGTGAACATTTGTTGAGTACGTATTTCATTAGGAAAATTGGTACCCGCCTGAGATTTGAACACCGGTGCATCGCTCAACATGAATGCACTGGACGTATTATCCTTTAGGCCACGACGATTTAATACTGGAATCAACGCATGAAATATCAACCAATTGTATTTACTTTAATAAATGCTGTTAGTATTTATTAGTTAGTGGTTAGTATTTGGTATAAATAAAATATACAAATGCATTTTTTTTAAACACAAAGCACAAGTTTCCGTCCACGTAAAGCTTTGGAAAAGTCGGAAATCTATATCTATATATATAAAAATGAATTGCTGTTCGTTAGTCTCGCTAAAACTCGAGAACGGCTGGACCGATTTCACTAATTTTGGTCTTGAATTATTTGTGGAAGTCCAGAGAAGGTTTGAATGGTAGATAAATATGAAAATGCTCGGAATTAAATAAAAATAACAATTTTGTTTTTCCTTCTTTTTTTTTTTATTGCCTTTGTAGGCAGACGAGCATACGGCCCACCTGATGGTAAGTGGTCACCGTCGCTCATGGACGTCAGCAATGCCAGGGGCAGAGCCAAGCCGCTGCCTACCAGAATACCTTCCTTTGTTGTGTCCCCCGTCGGAGGCATTCCTTTTGTTTGTTTTAAGTTTATTTTATACAAAAATTTAAGTCTTTTATTTATCGATTGAGGCACTACGAAGTCTGCCGGGTCAGCTAGTACTAAATAAAACTAATCTATGATTAATGAAAATCCAAGAAAGTACAATGGAAATGAATTTATTTCTAGATTCACTAAAGCTAAGCAAGTCGGAGTTTTGCATTACGAAGGAGCCATGGAAGTCGAACCGGCTGGTGACCCAACATGGGAGGAGCTGCATAATGAAGGATTGGTGAGTTCCATTGACCCTTTACTTTTACTGGTGGTAGGACCTCTTGTGAGTCCGCACGGGTAGGTACCGCCGCCCTGCCTATTTCTGCCGTGAAGCAGTAATGCGTTTCGGTTTGAAGGGCGGGGCAGCCGTCGTAACTATACTGAGACCTTCTTATATCTCAAGGTGGGTGGCGCATTTACGTCGTAGATGTCTATGGGCTCCAGTAACCACCTAACACCAGGTGGATTGTGAGCTCGTCCACCCATCTAAGCAATAAATAAAAACCTTGTATCCATTTAATTAAATACCATCTATTGATATCGTTATCTTGTTTTTACCATCGCACCGCCCGCCGCCGGAGTAGAGTTCATCCATACTACCTGGAGCCACTGCGTTCATCCACAGTGCGTTTCCAGAAATCTTTTTTGCCATGTACCATCCGGCTTTGGAATGAGCTCTCCTCCACGGTGTTTCCCGAGTGCTATGACATATCCTTCTTCAAACGAGGCTTGTGGAGAGCACTTAACGGTAGGCAGCGGCTTGGCTCCGCCCCTGGTATTGCTGAAGTCCATGGGCGACGGAAACCACTCACTATCAGGTGGGCCGTTTGCTCGTCTGCCTACAAGGACAATAAAAAAAATATACCACTTCTTGATATGTATAAAATCCACCTTCATACCTTGTCAAATGTCCGTGTCATACCATCTGTCATACCGGCACATGCGATTGCGTGAGCTCTGATGAGCATTCTTCTCTGCATTTGTCTATTGTTTGTTTCGAGCCATAATCTTTGCCACGTACGATCTACTTAGATGGAGATTCGAGGATCATGTATGTCATAAGAGCCGATTATGCTAACGGATATTATGACAACCTTGAAGATCGTTAAGATAACAAAACTGATTTGCAACTAAGATACTGATTCCGAGGATCGTTCGAGTCCTCAATTGTGTTTAGATTGGGCATGTTTGAAAGGCGCATATATCACACAAACATAGATTAAATTATTCTAGAGATCTTAATGAAAATTAGGAGTTATTATGGGCCAAGGCTAGAGAATTTCCGTGAAAGCTAGTCCCCAATACCCGAATTGGTCGTAAACTCACGACAACCAACCGACGAAGCACTTTAAAAATGAATTTACTATTGATAGTATGGTAAAAGGTAACAATAGAAAAGATAAAATAAATTTGTCAGTTTTGTGTCAGTGGAGATCTAATAATCTCAAAAAGAACTGGTGCAGTAGGCAATGAGAAACTACTGCAACTAATCTTCCCAAGAAACTCGTCATGAAACTATTAATATTTAAAAAAGTACAGGTTAGTTGTCTTTCGGACACTACAACAGTAATACCATGTACATAATGGTTACTCTCTTCTCTATTTCAAATAGAAAGAATATGAAAGTATTCCTTTATGCCGATAAAAATCACTGCTCTTTTTATTTCAAGCATTGAGAGATTTTTAAAGTTAAGTTGTAATGGGTAAATAGTTGTAGGGCTGACTGGTTTTATTAACTGGTTACAGCCGGCTGACTGTAATTCATATCAACTGCAGTAGCATTACGTGTTCTTAATAGGCGAAACGATTCTCGCGAAATTGTATTGTCATGAGCACTTTGACTCATCTACTTAATTCATTCCACCTGAGGGAGTTTCATTGCTTCGACATTGAGCGCCCTTCTCTCCCTAGCAACGAGTAGACGCGATTCCATTATTATTTTCCACGCAAACGGATATAACAGGTTTTTCTTAGAAAAAATAATACGTATTTCATGACAGGGCGCATACTTTGTATCAAAAATCAATACATAATTAATGTCATTTTAATGGTTTATTGCTTCTAATGTTTTGAACGCTCTATAGTTTTAGCGATGATGAATTATTAAGGCGTTATTCATCAATAACTTTTTGAAAACAGAAGGAAATTCTAAAAATCATAGATATAATCAAAACTGTAATACTTTTACGGTTTATTCATTAGCGTCATTTCGAATATTCTACATTTTTCGTGACGACGAACGACTAAGGTTTTATTCGTCGACTTTTAAATACTATGCTAACTACCATCTATTGTTCTATAAATATATAAATACTAAGCGTACTCGCCCGTTTTGCTGGGCATTTTTTTTAAAATCACATTATTATTTATTGTCATTATTATTAGGGAGTCCAACACTCATATAAATATTAGTCTATCCATTAAGTACATGTATTTTCTACATTCCAAGTTTCAAGTCAATCGATCAGGGACGCACGGTTCAGTAGTTATAACGGAACATCCGTAAAAACCACTGTAGATTTATATATTAGTGTAGATTATGACAGTACAAAATGCAAGATTAAACCGTAAAATTACTTTTAATTATGTCTGCGATAATCAAAGGAAATACTAATCGTAGATGTGTTTGGTAGCCCTAACGAAAAATAACAAGAGCATAAGCATTTCGACACCGCATTAACTCGATCTTAGTGTGCAATGCAAGGCCCTGCTGATAGCAACTGGCAGGAAGCCAAGGTACACGGGGATAATTTCATGGTTTCGCCGACCATTTGATTTTGCGAGCTCAGATAATGCGAACTAGGCATTAGTGAGGTCGTAGCCAGGAACACTATTACTTTTTTTAAGGGATTTTTTGACCTGGTAACTAAAACCTTTAGGTCATGTCTTATTTTAATTTATATTCTTATTTTTATGAAAAATGAAATGACATGAAGATGATTAATTTGAGACATTAATCAATTGGGATGAAATTAAATGAAATGACATGAGACGAAATATAATATATTTAATTTCAGTAAAATGGTGGTCATTTACTGAGATTTTTTCAGTGGACTTTTTGGAGGATCCCGAGAAGTTACGTCCAGCGACTTTGTTTCATTTTCCCACGTTTATGCACTTTCACAGATATTGAACAGTTAATAAACCACCGTTATTACCCGCCAAAAAGTTCCAGTAACACTATTAAGAGATGTTTTTTTCTGAATATTTTTTTCGGTACTGATGGTATTACGTCTTATGAGGCCTGAGCATTTTGGCGCGAAGCAGCGTTTCGGTTTGAAGGTGTGGCTGAAATTGTACTATATAACAGAACCTTAGAATTCCTTTTGTATACCTACAATGCGGCGATATATAAGACGGTAGTTATGTGGTTAATGTCAAGCCAACTGAGTTTCTTGCCGGATTTTCTCAGTGGATCGCGTTTCCGATCCGGTGGTAGATTCTGATAAGCACTGCTCTTTCTAGGGCTAGTGTTAGCATTCTTGTCAGGATAAAACCCCGTGAGCTCACCTACTCGCTCGGCGAAGCCGACATAACCTCTCGAGCTTACCAGCATAGATAGGATAAAAAAAAGTTAATGTCACTAGACTCCGGTAATCACTTAAAGCTGAGTCAGCTTTGAGTTCGATCGCCCATATAAGCGAATGGAATAGTTGTTATTTAATAGACATTTCATATCTTAGGGATATCTATTGGATCCGCCAATCGGTTAATACTAGTTAGAGAACAAAATAAATTAAGCAGATTGTATTGCTTTGCACCACTATCCTGATTTTATTTTTAAGGAGCTCATATGTAAGTCTGAGCTGCCAAGCTAGTTATGCAATTAATATTACCCAGGTCGTGAACTTGTTTGATTTAATCTAACGAAAAAAGACATTAGTTGTAGATTTCAGAATGACTAAATTGGCATTTACGACTAAATAAAAGACGGCCGTAATAACATTGGCAAATAGATCGATAGTAGCGACCATGATAAACATAGATAAGTTAATTAAATTCAGCAAAAAATTACAATACAGACATTTCAATTTTGAATAATATCTTGGTACGCTGTTTGCGTGGGCTATTTCATTCAATTATTGTTAATTGGGAAATTCGTGTTTCCTATACAATTATGAGTGTACGCCCACTGGTGAGTGTGATTTTCCATTTTGTCACGAACCATCAGGCTCTGAAATGAAATCATGCCCACGGTTTTTCCGTAGCGTTCTGGCAGTATCGATCGATTTATCGGTGAAGCTTTTACTCTAATGTTAAAGCTTGTCAGTTAGCTAACTTCATAATAACACATTTGATCCTTCAATAATCATGAACCAACGGGGAGTTTAATGTCAAAGTCGATATGAAAATCACACATGGATTTTTAAGGATGTTAATCCATCAGAGGTTAGTGATCTGAAAACGTGTCAGCGCATATTTGAAAGGACGATTTCAATTCATTAAGTCCCATTCGATTGAGCGCGAGTCTAAGTCAAGATAACACTTACATTGTAGATTACGGATTCATCCATCTATAAACTCAAGACGAAGGCTTCTTCAAAGCTTTTCAAATATTTGATTTGTCAGAATGTAGACTTTTAAAGGGTGTGATGTGATCGATTTTTGTGTGTTGTTATTTTGGAAAAGACGCCTTTTTGATCTTTCGTTTTTAAGCTATTGCATAGCTTTTATCGCGGGCTTTGAGCGCGGCGACTGAACCAAGAAATTCCGTAACAAAAATAAAACCTAACACTCCCCACTCCGCCTACCATGTTGCTCGCGTTCAATACATTCACGCGTTGCGCTTGTGTAGTGTTTGTGAATAAGCGCGCGGCGTGACGTCGCACTGCATGCGTATTATGAAAAGTCTACCCATCTCTCTCTCGCGTGGTTTAGCTTATTAGTGTGAAGGGGACAGTTAATGTTTTGCTTTTGTTAATGTTTATAAATATAGCGTGGTCTTACTTTATTATGGTTTTAATATTGAATTATTATTGTCTAATTATAATTGCATAAGTTGTTAAAAAATACTATGCAATAGCTTTATCGCGACATTCCCCGAGTGCCATTTGTATTTTTTCTTTGTACATACTTGGTTGACATAGTTATGTGGTTATCGTAGCTTATTATTATTCTCCTTACATGGACCCCCTTAAATTCTGTCAGAAACGAACACCAGCTAGTGATTTGCCGGTGTCTAAAACCTGCATACAGGTGCCAATTTTTCTAATGAAATACGCACCTAACAAAGGGTCACTAATGACAGCCACGCAGCTTCATGGATGTATTCAAAACTGTACACTATCCTATCTTGTGCTTATTCGATTAATTACCGACATTTCGAGCAGTCAACAGTGACGATAATTTGGCTGTTGTGTTTGCATCGATCTATACATCGGTATACTGTTTATTTTGCGAATTAATCATTCATTTTCAAGAATAAATTAGCAATTATTCCAATGCCTCCTCATCCCATCTTCCATTCCTATAATCTCAGTTTTGTATGGCCATTTTAGTCACCAAGACTAGACGGGAGATTAAATTATTAAAGCTTAATGATGATTAATAATAATGTGAGAAATCTCGTATTTGGGCCACTGTGCGTTTGCTTGTATCATTCTCATCTGGTATTTCGTAAAATAGAAGGATAAATCCCACCTTCCAGACATATTTAAAGTCGTCGTGGCTTAAAAGATAAGACGTCCGGTGTATTTGTATCTAGCGATGCAACTGTGTTCGAATCCCGCAGGCCGGTACCAATTTTTGTAATGAAATACGTACTTAACAAATGTTCACGATTGACTTCCACGATGAAGGAATAACCTCGTGTAAAAAAATGAAACCCGCAAAATTATAATTTGCGTAATTACTGGAGATAGGACCTCTTGTGAATCCGCACGGGTAGGTACCACCACCCTGCCTATTTCTGCCGTCAAGTAGTAATGCGTTTCGGTTTGAAGGATGGGGCAGTCGTTGTAACTATACTGAGACCTTAGAACTTATATCTCAAGGTGGGTGGCGCATTTACATTATAGATTTCTATGGGCTCCAGTAACCACTTAACACCAGAACCTCTTAGATAAGCAATAAAAAAATGTGAAATGTGTTCGTAATGTTAGTTGTATATTACAGCAATTGAACGCGCTGAACAAAGGTGAAGAAGAAGACGAGACTATAAGTTGCCTATGTCTGCTGTGAAGCAGTAATGCGTTTCGGTTTGAAGGGTGGGGCAGCCGTTGTAATTATACTGAGACCTTAGAACTTATATCTCAAGGTGGGTGGCGCATTTACGCTGTAGATGTCTATGGGCTCCAGTAACCACCAGAACATCTTAGATAAGCAATAAAAAATGTGAAATGTGTTCGTAATGTAAGTTATATATTACAGCAATTGAACGCGCTGAACAAAGGTGAAGAAGAAGACGAGACTATAAGTGTCGCGGAAATGAAGTCTTTAGATGGATACGACGAAAGTCTTAAGGAGATCGCCGATTACCAGTTCTACGTGGCCTATGATTTCTACGCTAAGAACAATTCTCATTTCCACAGGTCGCCTTATTACGGATATTACCAAGGTATGATGTATTTCAAACTAATCTATCTATATATATAAAAATGAATTGCTGTTCGTTAGTCTCGGTAAAACTCGAGAACGGCTAGACCGATTTGGTTAATTTTGGTATGAAATGTTATGGTATGGTTTTATGGTTCTATGGTATGGTTATGGTTTTGGTATGGTATGTATGAAATATAGTCTATTTGGTATAGTACAGTCTCGAATGGTGAATTTTTTCGGACACGTTTCGCGACGAGATGGCCGGTCCATAGAACGCCTCGTTGTACAGGGAAGCGTTGATGGTACAAGACCGCGCGGGAGGCCACCAATGCGGTGGACCGACCAAATTAAAACTGCAGTGGGAGGTCCCTTAAATGAGTGCAGTAGAATGGCTTCGAGCAGGGAGAGATGGCGCGACATCGTGAGACGCATCAAGTCTGCCCCTTCCAACACTACATGACGATCACGACCACTCTGTCAAGAGTGACACGACTGAGAAGAAGAAGTATGAAATATTATTATCAATTTGGTTACTTTCACATTAAGTAATGCACCTGCTACAGGATTCTCTACACCACCCTTGGTTGACTGGTAGAGAATGCCTCAGGCATTACGTCCGCCGTCCGTTAAATAAATAAATATATTTTCGTATCGAATAAATCCAAAAAACTATTAAATAACTCGAATACCCAATATCTTTCAAAAAGAGGCTGGCTGGGAATCGAACAGGATGTGGCACAGCACAGCCTCGAAACACGATAAGGAACAATTGCTAATTAATACATGTTGTATTTAATTTCACGATTTAGTTCCCGAAAAAGTGAACCGTCTCTACACGCCGCAGCTGAACCACATCAGCATGAAGATGCCGTCAAGTCCACTCCTGGTCGCCCGACCAACACCGGACCACTTTTGCAACGCGTCCAGCATCGAAGAATCCTGTAAAGAAGGCTACTGCGAGTGCTCTCACGTCCTATCAGTCAAACTAAACTCTGTCGTCGAAGTCGTAATAGTCGATGAAGGTATCACATTTGACGCCAATCACCCGTTCCATTTACATGGCCACAGTTTCAGGGTGGTTGGTCTTAGGAGGCTAGCATCAGATACAACTATAGAAGAGGTCAAGGCATTTGACGAAGCCGGTCTATTGAAAAGAAATCTAAAGAACGCTCCTATCAAAGATACCGTCACAGTACCAGACGGAGGCTACACGGTTATTAGGTTCAAAGCTGACAACCCAGGCTATTGGTTATTCCATTGTCATATAGAATTTCACGTTGAAGTTGGCATGGCCTTAGTTTTCAAGGTCGGTGATCATAAGGATATGCCGCCGGTCCCCAGAGAGTTCCCCAAATGCGGTAGTTACATCCCGGATAATATGCTCGAGTTGGCTACAGAAAAACCAAAGAACGATAATCAGTTCATTTCTATATCTCACTGGTGGCCGGTTGTGGTTGTCAATAACACTGTTTCATCGGCTTCATCTATTAGTTTATGTATATATCTTCTCACTTGTTGCATGCTTTTATTGAAATTTAATTATGATAGATAATTGAAAATGCTTTGGGTAATTCTATATTTAAAAAAAGCCTTAGTTTGGCGGTTTTTGTGTTTTTTAGTCAATAATACAAATGCAGTGTTACGTGATTTTGATTAAAGACCAAATTTATCAGAATGGTTTTGAGGAATGAAAGGCTAAAGGTTTGAGCGACTTTCTTAAACTTTACAGGAGAGCCATTTAAGTTTAAAATTTGGAAAAAAATATGTTAACAAAAAACTTTTTCAGCTATTGAAATGGTATAATGTTATATAATTGAAGTTCAATTCATCATCATCATTCATCATTCTTTCTTATTACCCTGTGCTGGGGTGTAGGGCTCGAATCAAATTTTTCCATTTATATCGGTCTTGGGCAGTCTGTTCTAACTCCTCCCACGTCATGCCCAAGACCCCTAGCTCCTGCTCTACCGAGCGACGCCAAGTTGTTCTGGGCAATTGAAGTTCAATTAAAAGCATTTAATTGTTGATGCTAATACCAAATAAAACGGACCTTTAATTACAAAGATAAATGTTGCGTTTTAAGCGAAATGTCGCTTAACCCAAATGGTTTATCATTCCTCGATTTGATCTTAGTTTTGCGAAGCCAAAAAATACTGTTACATGAAACTTAATTAGCAATACGTACATTTCATTAATGATTATTGATTTTTTTGTAAGATATGACGTTACAAGCAGTTCAAAATTGACTTCGATTGAGATTTGTTTCTTTACTTCTCCAGCACAAATATCTTTAAAGAGGAACTGTCACTTTTCAATCAGATTTTATGATGAGAGAATTTTTATTTAAAGATAATTTTTTAATTAGCAATAGGTAAAGTTAGTGAAATAATATTTTGTAAGTGTAATAAAATGAGATTTTTAGAAATAATGAAACCCGAATTTGTACTTAATTATTATTTATATTATTATTAAATTATTTAACGTAAAATTAAATCTATCAATTATTTTTTTTATCGCCCACTTCTTCGATTATTTCGTTTTGTTCTGACGCGTACTTATTTCGTTTGTTTTTTTCTTTAATTCTTATTCAAATATTGGGCATTCAAAAACGGTTTGTCAATATTGTTATTAAAATTTGTTACCTGTGATTGTGTTTGTGAAAATTTGATACGAAGTAAATTTGTGAGCAATGGCGGATCCAGGGGGAGGGTCGTGGGGGTCATGACCACCCCCTGAGCTGGGTCCAGGACTTAGGTGGACCACTAATTGAATATAATGATTCTATTTATATATTTTGTCACCATACAGATTTTATGTAACTACATACCTTCAATATTTAATTAATTTAATATAATATAATAACTTTGCATAATGGCAAACGTTTGGAAACGAACGCATCTAAATTTGACTATGTGACACCCTCCTGGCGACAAAGCTGGATCCGCTTGTTTGTGAGGCAGTGATGTGTGATATTATTAGTTTAAGTTAATTTATAAGTTAAAATTAAAATTAACATTATACAATTTTGTAAAACAAAAACATAAGTACAGTAAAGCTAATGCGGAGTGTATTTCCGTGTTTTATTCTATTGAACATTTATTTAAGTCTAAGTTACGTTTACAACGGATCTATGCTAGAATTTTATCATATATTTAAAACTTGATTTCACTTGGTGACTGGCGCCTTTTTTTTTTATTGGTTAGATGGGTGGACGAGCTCACAGCCCACCTGGTGTTAAGTGATTACTGGAGCCCATAGACATTTACAACGTAAATGCGCCACCCACCTTGAGATATAAGTTGTAAGGTCTCAGTATATTTAGAACGGCTGCCCCACCCTTCAAGCCGAAACGCGTTACTGCTTCACGGCAGAAATAGGTGCGGTGGTGGTACCTACCCGTGCGGACTCACATGAGGTCCTACCACCAGTAATTCTTAGCCTTCAATAGTTACATCCATGGATTTCGGTAGCCACTTAACATCAGGTAAGTGGAGAGTTCGTTCAACTGTCCATACAGTGGTCGCATATTATATAAAAACAGTAGAATCGGTTGTATTTAACTTTGCATTAAAGAATAGTTACTAAATAGAAAAGGGAGAAACACAAGAGGAATAACATGAATAGGCAATTTTCAGATTTTTTCTGTCCGTCTGTTTGTCTGTACGTAGCTACGAAACTACCATGGGATTTTAATGAATTTATCACACGTAGACAAAGATTTTTCGGACGAGAAATTAGGCTAGAAAGGGGGAAACTAAAGAAGAGACATGGATAGGCGATTTACATTTTTTTTTTCTGTCTGTCTGTTTGTCTGTACGCAGCTACGAAACTACCATGGGATTTTCATGAATTTTTCACAAGTAGTCAGAGATCTTTCGGGCGGGATATTAGGTTATTTCAATAAGATCGAATGCTATAGCTCTTAACACCAGGTCGGTCTTAAAGTCATTGACTCCTCTACGAAATTAATGATTATAATAATAAATTTAATAATAATAATTATAAATTTATAATAAAATACAAACTAATACATATCGACGCTTAAATGCAAACGTGACTAAGCGACAATAACTGCTTTGTACATAAATGATAGGCAATAACCATATTCGATGCGCAATAAATATATATTTCTAGGTCTATTAAAATCATTTCAATCCTACAGATACTAGCTAGATTATATTACAGCTAGATTCGTTAAAATAAATTTTGTTTTCAGTTATTTCAACTTTAAATTAGTCTACTGTAAGGTTCACGCATTGTCGCTTAGTCACGTTTGCCTTTCAAGCGTCGATATTTTTATTATTATTATTGCTTAGATGGGTGGACGAGCTCACAGCCCACCAGGTGTTAAGTGGTTACTGGAGCCCATAGACATCAACAACGTAAATGCGCCACCCACCTTGAGATACTAGTTCTAAGGTCTCAAGTATAGTTACAACGGCTGCCCCACCCTTCGAACCGAAACGCATTACTGCTTCACGGCGGAAATAGGCGGGGTGGTGGTACCCACCCGCGCGGACTCACAAGAGGTCCTACCACCAGTAATAAATTAAAACATATAAACCTACCTATTCAATCACTCTATCCATTAAAAAAAAAATTAAACCATTACAAATATTAAAAAGAAACGAATGCTTCTCTGTAAATTAGTGATACAACCTTCGTTGAACAATTCCGACAACGCCTAATTAATCTGAGACAAGTGATTCATAATCCGATTATTCGACCCCCTTTCTGACAGCTCGTGTTGTTTGGACATCGACGAATTTCCTTATTATGCGACCGTTACAGGATTAGGGGTTGTAACGTAATTATTATCACACCTTTATAAGTTACATCCATTTCTCTGGTTTATTTATTTATTGCTTAGATGGGTGTACGAGCTCACAGCTCACCTGGTGTTAAGTGGTTACCGGAATCTACAAGGTAAAAGCCGCCACCCACCTTGAGATATGAACCAAAGGTCTCAATATAGCTACAACGGCTGCCCCCACCCTTCAAACCAAAACGCATTACGCTTCACGGCAGAAATAGGCAGGGTGGTGGTACCTACCCGTGTGGATTCACAAGAGGTCCTACCACCACTGAACTATGCTTAGGGTGTATTGCTCAAGTTATACTAAGCTCTGATAATCATTTAACATCAGGTGGGCCGTGAGTTAATCAACTCATTTACAGCAATAAAAAAAGGCTATTACTATTTTGAAAGATTAAAGATTCAGAATTCTCAAAACTAAAAAGGGGTAAAATGTTTAAAAAAACCTCGCGAAAATTGAATTAAGAAAAATCAGAAGGAGATAAAATCTCAAAGAAACTCTACCAATTAAGATAGGTAACGGCGGGACCTTAAATCAAGTCAGCAGTGGAAAGGTTGGGTAATAAATATGCTGGAAGGATGGGTGAGTCTTTGGGGTGGATGGGAGAAAAATAGGCTGTGTTGCCACTTATCTTGGATCTTTGCTTGCGTATATTCCGGTGAAATCGATTTATATTCACACGGAAACGAATTTAATTTTTTTTAAATGACATTTTTCCTTTCTTTAGGCTAACAGGAATTTCCCTCTCTTCCACCTGCGCTTCTGAGGTGGTAGACGGGTAATGTCAAAGTTGTACCGACTAAAACATTCTGTCTGGCCTAGGCCTCCTCCAAGCCTTGTAATGACCGGTTCTGCGTTGCCTACATACGGCGAATTTCAATTCCCATCCTTGATTCTGCCTGCTTATTTTCCTCATTGAGTTTCTGAAATACTAATTTGTCACCTCTCCACTTTTTCTTACCCTAAAGCAATTCCTTTATACAATTATAAAGAATGAGAATAAATATTTCAAATTCATATATAATATAGCTATTTTATATCATATTTAGTTTGATATGGAAAGAAAAAAGCGGTAAAGAAAAATTGGTTACACAACTATTCACATCTTCTATTACATAAAGAGTCTAGTTATAAATACGGTTGCAACAAAATTTTACATTAATAACTATAATTTTAACGTACTTTTTAACGTATATAAATTCACAGAGCGTAATAATAAATTACAATCATTACGTTGACAATCAAAATTTTCGGATTAAAATTAGCCAATCCTCAAATGGTTAAAATTTTAAAAAGAGCTTCCTAAGTTGATGTTAGAAATACTTTGATTTCCTAATAAAATATTATTTGCCTTGAACATCAAGAGAATGGTCATGTTGCCTTGCTAAGATTACACGACAGTGTGATAGCGTGTAACTTAGTATCACGGCTTCCTCGAACCCAGTAAATAGGTATGAGCATTGATATAATCCGACGATATTGATTTTTCCTGATATTATAATCTCATTGAACGTCTGTTAATTCAATTGAGTTTTTTGTGTTGCAAACATAATTATTCGCTCTTCTATAGCCAAGGTTCAAAGACATCTGAATTACATTGGATTGTTAAATGTGGAATTAGTAAAATTAAATTATGTTTTGTATTTTTATTTGCAACTGGTGGACGGTGAAACGGGTGATCTGCATACCTAGAGAGATACAATAAAGACTAAATCAGGACCAAATTTCATTCATC